ATCTAAGTTATTGAGTTTTTAGCATAATACTTCAGAATCTTAAAATCCCTTAACGTTTGTATGCAATTGTGCTAAATTCAACACTGGAATCAAGCAAATATTAATATGTTTGCATGACATTAGTTATTTATATTTTGATATCACTTAACTATACGTTTAATACATTTAAGTCAAGCTAAGGTACATGTGATGGTAGCTAGTTAGTGCTCTTACCTGTGAGGCCTCCTCCAAACAGCATAATAACCAGACTGTATCATTAAAACTAAGTACCAATTCTAGATCCATGACTTTAGACAAACAATTCAAAAGACAAAATGTATTTAAAGACCAATCTTTATTTGAATGTGCCTCTTAACCTGATATGTTAGTTATACAGTAATAGTATTGACAATCTAAAAAAACTGAGCAACTCAAAAGTCAACTTTATGTTTCTTATTGTCTAAAGCATTTATTATTTTAATTTTCCCCCCCTCATATTCAGTGTGGACGGATTGAGACAGCGTGGTGTCCAGAGAGCTGCAGAGACTTCAGGGAGAAACCTCCGTGTGATGGACGTCCTGTCTGTTTGTTTGGCCCGGAGAGGACTGAGGGTCTTTCCTCTGCGAGGAGGACCAGGCCTGATGGAGGAGCACAGCTGATACCAACTGCACAGTCCTAGTCTGTCACGTTATTTGACTAAATGTCTTTACTTATACATTTTAATAGGTTTAAACCTTCTGTCCATATGTGCTTTTTATTTTAAAAAAACAGAGTAGAATATAATGGTGCAGATTATGTTGCAAGACCAATGTGCAAGTAATACGATTTTTAAATAAGCTAAATCCTGCAGAGAATGTTGTAAGTTAATGCAGGAGTCTATAGCCTATATATGTAAAGAGAAGATAAATTATACAAGAAAATAATGTAAAATTAAATATTGTACATTGAAAAATGCATCTCCATAGTGTATACATAGTAGAGTGTACAGGGAGGTGTTATACTTACCCAACTGAAGTGCCATTACTCTTTGCATCTCATTCATCTTGGTAGAGACAACAACATCATAAAATAAGGTTTGCACAAATTAAAGTCTGACATGAAATAAATTAACAGAATAAGATGTGTGTCTGCTCCATCAGCTTGGGCAGGAGACAGCGAACTTTAATCAAAAGAGCCATTCTGACCCCTTTTCCGACGATACAATTGGTGTGGAGCCGCAAAAAATATTCAATATCACAGCATATTAAAAACTATAGTTTGTTTATCAAATTGTAGAACTACAACAGGGAAAGCTGTTGACATTTTATTGCTATGTTGACCTATTATTACCAAGGAAATAACAAAACTCTTGTGTAAAACATTAAACATAAAAAAATAGTCCTGTCAAATGTAATTATGACTTAAATCCTTTGCAGTGTCCCATCCTCTTCTGTTTTTTCCTCAGCCACGTACAGCAGTCAGCCGTATCTGCATAAAAGCGCTGTCTGTTCAATAGTGTTTCCATTTCTGACTCTATTGAGTATGCTTGAGCTAAGTTAATGTCCTCATTTGTTGCTGTTTTAATGATGCTTTCCTCTACCGTCTTTGCCGAGAGAGACGTAACTCTAATTTCTACTTTCAATTTGCTTTTTGGAGTCTGAAAATACATGCCGTGATATTTTAATGAATGATTTGTTTGTTTCTTTGTATTTTGTGTCCGACTGTAAACAGTTTTCCTAGCCTTACTATCTCCAGAGCAGTGACAAAGCTAGCAGCAGTGGTTGAGTTTTAAATACTTGATCAACTTCCTAAATATATATTTGACCTTATCAGCCTTCTGAAGGAGCTCCAAAATTGATCTTTTAAACTCTTTTCTGGAGTTATTTGTGATTAGTTTACCCCAGGGCGGGGTACGGAAACTCAGTGTTTGCCACCCACAGGCAAATACGCCGGGCCGTAGACAAAGTAGGATGCGACTGATATTAGTTGACAAAAACAGCTAGCCGTTTAGTGGAGAAAGTGAATACTGCTGAATACACATACTTTAAAGAGATGCTGTATTTTAAACCAATGTGAGTTTGGAAAATTGCACAGTATTTTTCTATTTTAGTATACCTCAACAATGGAATTATTATTATTAGTGGAAATGGCCATGACACCTCTCCTTTAAATAATATACTGAGGAAACCATTATTCAGATCTAAATGAAACATTCATACGCATTTTACTCCTCAATTACATACCATTGACTGTGTCCATCCATGGAACACATTTACATTATCTCTTCAAGGCCAGATTTATTCCGTGCACCTGAACACTCTCCTTAAAATAGAGCTGCCCTGATCATAGCTAACCCATCTTCATGAAATCCGTCAGTAGCATTTAATGGAAAAGCAACAAGGGCACCAAAGTGAGCTTAATGTAATGTGAAATAGCAAATGCAATTTTGTAATTACCAATTGTAAATGCTTTGAGAATCCGACTGCACTTAAACTGTCCGATGTATTTGTGCCAGCGGATGTTATTCATGTACGTCTGCCGTATGGAAACTACACATTTCTGTACAGCAGACGACTGCATGCGCCCATAGATACTTTGCACCGTGCGTTCTTATGGAGGTGTTCCATGCGGTTTTAGGAACGCGAACATCAGGTAAAAAATATGTTCTTCATTACCAAGGTTGGAAATTAAATAAAAAAAGTATAGTGAAACGTATTGTTGTCACCCTGCGGTCCAGACCTATTAATCCACATGAATCCCAATACGTATGATTGTATGAAACTTTTAAAATAAATACTATTTTATTTGTTATAAATAAATGACTTTATTTGATCATTCTACAGTGAAAAAGTAACATTCATATTTCTCATTTTGATTATTATAGTGTTGAACATTCAAAACAAAGCACTTTGGCAAGTTAGGGCATACGTTTTAAATTGCTGAATAAGTACCGGAACTTTCATGATTTGCATTTCTCGGTCACTATCGGTTGTTTGCGTGAACGGATGGATGTTGTGTCACGGTAAATGTTGCGACCGCAACGCATTACGGGACAGCATTTCGTAAAGGAAGGTCCAGTGTTTCCTAAGCTAAAGGAGGTTATAAAGGAAGTTTCAAAGCTCCTTTCCTATCATCTAATTCAAACGGCTCTTATCATGGCTGATACTGAGGTACTTCCGGGTCATTTCACTCCGTTAGGAGCCTTCCTAAGCTAAACTGACAATTCGTACCGCAGCTTTAGCTACAGTAAGGGACACACAATGGCCTGACTCTTGGTTAATAAAAGGTCAATGCTGACTCAAAGCATGAAACATGACCTGTTTTTCAATGTTTTACCTAAACCATGATCTGTATCCTAACTTCAGCGTGTCATGTGAGGCGCAGGAGGCTCAGAGCTTCAACCCTGTGTCCTCTCAGTCCAGAGGGTCAGTTTTGTTAGTGTGTACTGTATCATTCTGTCTGAATGTACTGTGTTATTCCTTTTTCTGTAGGACACTAAGATGGGTTTCGGCATCGCGGTGTCAGGTGGGCGTGACAACCCCAACGTGGACAATGGTGAGACGTCGATCATCGTGTCAGACGTGCTGCAGGGGGGCCCAGCAGATGGATTACTCTTGTAAGTCTGACAAAGCTAGATGGACTAGGGGGGCTGCTGTGTAGGGCAGCAAAGGTTCTGTACATTTCCAGAAACCTTCAAAGGGAAGGTCAGATAAGGGCTTCTGCACGATTTAGGGGGAAATGCAAAAACAGTAATAGTAGGTCTGAGAGCCTGATATGGCCAATATCTTCCATCACCTTATGTGTCATTTTAAATCACGGTTACAATACAGTAATTGTTCTTTAAACTAGATTAATACAACTTTTTAAAGAAAACAAACATACTTCGCCGTTTTAAGTCCAGATCAGAACAAAAACCATGTGTATTTTGGGCCTATACCACCAAAGCGATCTTTATTGTAATGCTTCATATGTGTGGTTATGTAAACATCCAATATTAGCTAAAGAAAATATAAATACATTAGCCCACTAACGAAGCAGGAAGTGTATACCATTGGTGCTGCTTGTAAATTGTGCAGCATCTGTAGCTGCTGACTCCCATCACATGGTCAGATCATCTGTCATCATCTCATCAAAGCTCAGTGCATTCTCTTCACATGTGCAGCCACCCTGTCTGACCATGCTATATCATATTATTGTAGTGAATATATTTTGTATTTCCTATATTTTAGTGAACCAGCAGGAGATCTGCTCATGATATCTTGCTAAATATTATGATCTTCAAAGAGCTTGTGCTGCAGCAGCTCAGTTCTTATTTATTTCAGGAAATGAATTGAACATAAAGTTCAGAGATATTGGCTCAGACCTTGGTCTCTGACTGACTCCTAAACCAATCTTTAAAAAAAGCATTCTACATTTAATTTCAACTTTTTGGTCTCTATTTTTGATGAAACATTGTTGATGTGACATTCAGATTTAGTTTTCATAGTTTTCTTATCATTTTATGTGTTTTCTTTTTGTTGTCCAGTGAGAATGATCGTGTCATTCAGGTCAACTCCATCCCCATGGACAACGTGCCTCATTCCTTCGCTGTGCAGTCCCTCCGTAAATGTGGTAAAGTGGCTAAAATAGTGAGTATGAACCACACACAAGGTCTATGCAGTCTTCTTCTGCAGAGTTGAAGAGGCCCTGTTCTGCTCTGCGGGGTTCTCCCTTTCCTCTAGTGGGTTTATATAGGTTCTGTTTATCTAAATGGTTAAAGTAAATACAAATAAAGGCTAAAATCCCCAACTTCTCTCCAGAGGGAGTTTCTCTGCCACAACACACTTGTGTCGCCTGCAGAGTTTCCATATATGTAAAATGAGCGTGTGTGCGTGTTTTCCTGCTTGACTAAAAGTAGCAGCAGTCCTCTCCCGTGTGTGCAGTGGACTAATCTGGCTGATGAATACAGCTAAATATAAAAGCCTGACATGTCGAGGGAATCTGATTTGCTGCTCTGAACAGCCACTTACACATCATGCAGCTGTGTCTTCAGTCCTGTCTGAGACACACTATCCACGTTTCCTATTTATGCTTTTCTCTCAGATATAGTCTTTCGTCTTTTGAACAAACCGGTACCAGATAAAGACTACCTTTATTCCTTTTTTTTAAATTTAAATAATACACATCTTCTTCAACATTTTTGTTTCTTTACGTGAGCTCCACAAATGTTCCATTAGTTTTATGTTGGGCTGGTTATGGTGATGCTGCTTTGTTGTATTTTCAGTTCTCATTCAGGTCTAATGAACAGTAAATGACCGTCAGCTCTTCAGTGAGCCAAGTATTTGTCGCCACAGCAACCCTAAAACACAAAGCGTTTGAGTTTGTTTGCTTCTAAATTAAATGGCCGTGCCATCCTGGCTCCTGGATCTCCGTCTTTCACCCCTTAAATTATCCTGCTGCTCCTCACAGGTCCCATGCAGCTACCTGTGTTAGGACCTGTAGTATAGCGTAACGCTTGTGAAGGCATCTGTAAATGTGCTTTGCTTAGTTTGGCTTGCATGCTGGCTTTCGGCTGTGTCTTTATTAGTCGAAACGTTCACCGGCATGCATTCTTCTGTGCTGTTTAAGGAGCTGGTAAAAATGTTTTTGTGTTGCCGTGTGATGTAGCAACCCAATGCAGCTGAGCTTAAAACCAGAGAACTGACATCCAACAGAGGTTGCGTTTTCTTTAGCAAACAGTAAGTTAGCGTCAGGTTAGAATCCATTTCCACTAGTCTCTGGCTCATCGTTTGATCGAACAGAGTACAGGCTTTTCTCCCCAAACAGAGACTGATTGGTCAGCTAGGCAGGATATGCGTACATAATGATTTTGACCGCACACATCCATACGACTGGGATTTGTTTATTTATATGTTTAAATACCGTGCAAAGGTTGCACGTCGGCATTGAGCCGCCAGCTGATCCATTGAACCTCCTAATAAAGCACTTGAATGGAA